TAAAAAAAAAAAAAATGTAAGTCTCCTGCCCCCGGTGCACGCACTTAAATACACGTCGGGTGCGCCTACGTGTGAAAAAAACGATTATGCCGCACATGTTACATATCGCCACGAACGTCGGAGTGAGAGCAATAATTCTAGGGCCATCAATCACTGATAACACTAAACTGATGAGCGGTAACAGCTTTTAAAGCGTCGCCTATGGCCAATTTTAGGCATAGCAGTTGTTTTTTTTGTGTGATTTTTCTGGGCGCAAAGCTTGACATGTTTGGTGTCTATTTACCCGACGTGACCCTGTCTTTTATATTTTAACAAAAAATTGGGGTGATGGTAAATGTTTTATAACGTAGGGAAAACTTTTCGGTACTTTTTTCATTATATAGTAAAAAGTAAAAGCCCCCCAGTGGTAATTAAATACCACCAAAGGAAAGCTCTATCTGTCCCCAAAAAATGGTATAAAATTCATTTCAGTACAGCGCTGCACGACGGAATAAATGTCAGTCAAAGTAACGCAGCGCTGAATACTGAAAAATGGCCTGGCCAGGAAAGAGGTTTAACCCCTTAAAACAAGACCATTTGCCTTGTTTTCAATTGCAACAATTCACACTTCTGTGCTATGGTGGTGTGTGCTGAAAAAATTACTGCATACAGTGGGAAGCTATGATTTAGGGCTTGTTCACACCAAATGCAAACCAGATCTGCATGAGTTTTTTTTTTAAGTTTAAAATGGGCTTTCAGTGCGTTCCAGTGCGTTTGTGATGCATTTTCATGCGTTCCAGGGCAGGTAAAATAGGGCTTGTTGCTGTTTTTTTACATGCCGCAAATACTATTGGATTACATTGGAGGCAGTTTTGCTCCGGTCTGTAACTGCTCTGCTCCTGGAACGCACTTGGTGTGAACAAGCCCTTAGTGGCGGTAATGGTACCAAACCTGAAGCTCATCCCTACTGACTTTAGGCAACAATTACTGTTTTGTTCCCATATCATCTGCTACAGTATTAATAACTAGCCCCCAAGATCTAACTAAAATGTATCTAGAGCCCAGACCTTTTATTTTATTTAGGTTACCATGGGGGTTTGTCTTGCCTAGGGCAGTACAAAACCTAAATACACTATTAATATACTTAATAAAAAAAGAAATAATGAAAATAATAATAACAAATATATAAAATAAATTTACAAAATAATTACATAATACATTACATATTATTAAAAATAAAAGAAATAGTGATGAAGAAAAAAGAAAAAATAATGTGTGTAAAATATTCTAGATTGAAGAAAAAAAAAAAAAAAGCGTGTTAATAATTGTCTTTTTTTGGCCGTTTAACCAAATGGGATAAAGATCAGAGAGCAGAAGCTATGGAATGTGTTAAAAAGAACAGAATGTACAGGTAAACATTGACTTAGGTATTCAATTTCTAAGCCAAAAGGTATTGACAATGCCGGTTTCTTAGAACATAGATCTGAAACACGATCATAAAATAGGACGATCCCACAGATTATACATTTAGCATGTTGTATGTGATATTTAAAATGAAACAATGTTAATTTGGGATTTTCTGTTTGTTATATTGTAGAATATACAGGATGACAATACGGTTGCTGCCCAACAACAAAAACAACACTTGTATAGTTCTTGCACAAGGCATTTCATATAGACAGACTTACATATGTCAGTGCTGAGTGCTCCACAAACAGGTTCTCTTTGCTGGCATAAAATGGCCTCTGGATTGGGTGCTGTGCTGGTGATACTGGATGCAGAATGAGCAAAATTAAGATGCAAGCTGAAACAGGGTCTCCCCCAAAAAAATTGCGGCAGTTTGCAGGGGTGCCCCCGACCATCCCTACACTGTCCCTGCTCATCAAGAATCTTGACCTGCGCTACGTCAATCTGTCCCTGCACTGTCCCCATCTCAATAGTCCATACACTGTAGGACTCCCCACATGGCCATTACAGGGGCTATATAGAACCCCTTGGGGCCCTATCATGAGTCAACCTGAAGCTGTTCCCTTCCGGGGTGGACACATTAACATGGAGCCAGCAGGATTTTTTTAGGAGCCAGCTCCATTGACAACAACTAGAGAAAACCTCAAAAAATAGGAGCCAGCTGTGATTTCTAAGGAGCATTCACTACCTGGCTTCTGGAGTTGTCCAGCCCTGCCATCTCTTTGGGTCTTTGGGTCACGTGGGGGTATGGCAGATGGTATGGTACGGAGAAGTGTATGACCCTTAAACATCTCCATGTCTGGCTCTTAGCAAACCTGGGATGCTCTGGCCTGAAAGGAGGCAGCATGGTTTGCAGTGTTCCTGCTGCCCCCTTTCTGGCCAGAGCATCCCAGGTTTGCTAAGAGCCAGACATGGAGATGTTTAAGCGCCATACATTTCTCTCCCGGCAGCCAGTGACATCGCAGGTGGTAAAAATGCTAGGGATGTCCCTGCCTCTGAGTACGAAATGACTGCCCAAATCTCTAAAGAACTATGAGTCCAACCAGGCAATATGGCCACTGGAAGCCCTGTGGGTTTACCTTTGGACAGGAAACCTATCTAACAATCACCATCTCACTAACTGGGCTGTCACCCATCAGAGTGGTGTTACTGCTCTCCGGGTGTATTGGCAGCTGTTGAACTCCACCCTGCTACATAGGATGCTACCTACTCCACAAAAATGCCACGTCTAAGTTCAGTCTCCTCACCAGTCTGTAAATAGTCCCTTCAAAGAGATCCTGTCCCCATATCATTCAATTCAACAAAAATCTCCCCATAACATTTAAAACAAAATCATTTATCATTCCCATTTCCTTGACCTAACCTGATTGACCCTCCCCCACCACAGATACTTACTTTCCTTGATCCGATGGCCATGGTTCTGCTGTTTGCTTACATCCTGAGATGCAAGCTTTCTGGCCATACCTGGGCTTTATAGCCTCATAGACTTGTATAGGACTCTCCATGGTTATCTCCGGCCTTGGACACAATCCCATAGGTGTCTATGGGGCACTAAGGTGCAGGAGGGGCAAGGACGGTACTTGCACTGCAGGATGAGAAACAAATGGCAGAACTGCAGATGTTAGAATTAAATAAGCATGCATTTTTGGAGGGGAAGGTAAAGGGACGAAAAAAAAGTGCCCCAAGACTGCTGCTGGGTATCACCATCTTGGATGTGACATCAGCACCCCTAGCACTTCACTTGCTGTCATGCAAGTGAAGCTCTACAGTGTTCCCCTTCATTCCTCCTCTAGCTGCTACGTAAATGGGGTTTGCAGGGAGGTGAATGGAGTCATGAAGGAGCTGGGTCAGTACAAGACAGTAAATAGACACTCCCAGATGAGGAGAGGGCTTTGATGTGAAGGAGGGAGGGGACTTTACTCGGAAATTCACTCTTCCTCAGTCCACTTTGAATAAGTTCCCAAATGACTTTACCATCAAATATGGTAGCACTACGTCTTTAAGAGATATTTCATGATTTGTTTTCCCCATTTCAGCTTTCCAAAGCCTATGGCTCGGTATTCACCATTCAGATGGGAATGAGGAAAATGGTGGTGCTGACTGGATATGAGGCTGTGAAGAATGCTCTGGTCGGGCACGCTGAGGAGTTTGGTGAAAGAGCGTCCATTCCAGTGTTTGAAAAAATAGATAGCGGAATGGGTGAGTTGTATGGAGAGGGCTGAACATGTTGTTTCTGGCATCTCAAAGAAGCGATGGTTGTTCTTAGTGCTTTAAGTGCATCTGCGGCCCTGACTATGGACATTAAACTGTTTACATATTTTTAGAAGAAGTATAAGAACTTTAAAACCCGCCCTCACCAACCTCTCTGGCTGCTTGTACTGTGAAGTAATTCATTCTCAAAGCTCCCCAAAGATCACAAAAAAGCCTCTAGAGTTGGCTTCAGGCAGTTTCTAACAGCTTAGACCAGGGGTAAGCAACCCCAGCACTTCAGAAGGTAAAACTTCAAGTCCCATGGGGCAATTCAAGAGACTGACAATGACAGGCATGACTCGCAGAGGCACAGACATGGGATTTGTATTTGTATTTTCAGCAAAATCTGATGTTTTTTTCACATTAGGGGGCTCACACATGTAGGGAATTATGATAGGAATCAGGCACATGTAGGGAAACACTAGTGTTCAGCACCAAAAGTCCTGTACCGAGCACTAATGATGAAACAAAGCAAAGGAGTGCTCTTTGTCTTGTCTCCAGGTGTCATATTCGCGCACGGTGAAAGCTGGAAAGCCATGAGAAGATTTACTATCGGCACATTACGTGATTTTGGAATGGGGAAAAGCACCGTAGAAGACAAGATTCTGGAAGAAATCGATCATTTGGTGCAGAAGTTCCAGACCTTTCAAGGTACAGCCTAATGAATGACACTTTGGGGTCTATTTATAAACAAGTTTTGCTTGTTTTGCTATTTATAAACAATTCAAAGAGCCATTCACCCTGCAAATCTCTGAGATTGCTTGTTCTGCACGAATAGAGGTAGAAAGGAACATGTTTTGCATATTTTCTTTTCAGGTTGAATGTAACGTAATGTAATACAGTACTATGACCACTAGATAGAGCTGAAGAAGATAGTAAATACATACTTATTTCCTTTGCTCCTCAACGCCATCTAGTGGCCATAAGGTGGCATTACATTACACTTGACCTAAATAGAAAATATACTAAGAATGTTTGTTTATTTTTCCTCTATTTATGCAAAACAAACATTCTCAGAGAATTGCAGGGCAAATGGCTCTGCAAATTGTTTATAAATAGACCCCTTAGTGACCTATTTCAAACACTTTTTCACTTTTAAACATGTTTCCTCCTTCACATTATGCAATGCATTTGTACTGTCTCTCATGTTTTAATCATGTCTTAAAGTCTCAAATTTGGCTACAAAGGTGGAAATATATGAATGTGTGAAAGGCAGTAAAGTAAAAAAAAAGGAAGTGGCATGTGAGGTTTCTGCATTGGGAGTTTTGGGTGTGTCTGCCCCCCTTTCCCCAGGACATGACAATTGCCTAACCCCCTACAATCTTGCAAACATTTTGATCATATATATATATACACATACCATTCATATATGTGTGTGCGTAAAATATATATATATTACCAAAAGTATTGGGACAACCCTCCAATTCATTGGATTCTGGTGTTCCATGAAATTTCCTTGCTACTAAATATTCCGCGGTCACCTGTTAGTAGTATTATTATAACAAGTGGAAGCAACTGGGAACAACAGCAACTCAGCCACGAAGTGGTAGGCCATGTAAAATGACAGAGCGGGGTCAGTGCATGCTGAAGCGCACAATGTGCAGAAGTCAGCAACTGTCTGCAGAGTCAATAGCTACAGACCTCCAAACTTGGTGTGGCCTTCAGATTGGCACAACAACAGTGCGTAGAGAGCTTCATGGAATGGGTTTCCATAGCCGAGCAGCTGCATCCAAGCCTTACATTACCAAGTGCAATACAAAGCGTGGGATTTCGTGGTGTAAAGCACGCCGCCACTGGACTCTAGAGAAGTGGAGATGTGTTCTCTGGAGTGACCAATCACGCTTCTCTGTCTGGCAATCGGATGGGCGTCTCTGGGTTTGGCGGTTGCCAGGCTGCATTGTGCCAAGTGTAAAGTTTGGGGGAGGGGAATT